TGCTAAGAAAAAACGATGTCAAAAACTAGAGATACTAAGAAAAGACACCTGCACAAGCAAGAACTACAGGATGTTCCTCCCTACTCTCACTGGTGGTAAGAAGGAACTGAAGAAGGGGCAGGTCGGCAGGGCATTATATTAGGTGCCATGGAGACACCCGCACTGACCCTACGGGAAAATATTGCTGCTATGCGAATACCTGCTAAGAAAAAACGATGTCAAAAACTAGAGATACTAAGAAAAGACACCTGCACAAGCAAGAACTACAGGATGTTCCTCCCTACTCTCACTGGTGGTAAGAAGGAACTGAAGAAGGGGCAGGTCGGCAGGGCATTATATTAGGTGCCATGGAGACACCCGCACTGACCCTACGGGAAAATATTGCTGCTATGCGAATACCTTCCAGCCATCATGCATATGTGCATACACATACCTAATTGGAATACACATGAATAAGCACTCAAAGAAGAACCAGCTGCTCTAAGAAGCAGTCATTTAAGTCAAACTTTTTCTCTCCATCTTGTCCTGAGGTGATGTGTATCCAGTGAATATAAAATCCTCCATTATTATTGATTTTTTAAAAAATGTTATAGCCTCTCTAATCTCCTTTAGCATTTTACAGACACTATTACCATTCTGGTCAGGTAGTTGGTAATATATCATAGAATCACAGAACACTAGAACTGGAAGGGACCTTGAGAGATCATCAAGTCCAGTCCCCTGCCCCCACGACAAGACCAAGCACTGTCTAGATCATCCCTGATAGATGTCTAAGTATGTATATCTATGTAGTACTATATCCTTAGTGCTATATTTGTATTGTTAGAGCATGGAATTACTATCTATAGAGATTTTATGGAACAGTTTGGTTCATTTAAGACTTTTAACTTCATTTGATTCTACATTTTCTTTCATGTATGGTGCCAGCCCCCCACCAGCACATGTTCTGTCCTTCCGATGTATTTTATACCCTGGTACTACTGCATCCCATTAATGATCTTCATTCCACCAAGTTTCTGTGATGCCTATTACATCAATATCCTTATTCAATAAGAGGCACTATAGTTCACCAATCTTATTATTTAGACATCACATTTGCATATAAGCACTTTAAAAACTTGTCAATATTTAGCTGTCTGCCATTACATGACGTAACTGAATGGGATTCTTTTTCATTTAACATCTCCTGGAGAAAAAAACAACACATTTTATATAAAATGGCCTTCAGAGTTAGAAGAACTCTAGGCCCCAGACAGTTGTTCCCCAAGGGTGCATCTACACAGCAGGACTTAACTCGAAATAAGCTATGCAAATTGAGCTATGTCAATTGTGTAGCTTATTTCTAAATTGAGAGCATTTACACAGCACTGATTCTGAAACAGAGCACTCTTCCTCTGACTTCCCTTACTCCTCGTACAAAAAGGGACAGTATTTTGGCACTGACACTTTGAAGTACCCCTTATCCCCCCAACTTGCTACCTCTATCTGGGGAGGGAGGGTGGAAAGACTAATTGACTATCCTATCGACTATCAAATAAGCATTTACTTATTGGATAGTCATCTAATCCTTCACATCCCTAGTTTGAAATGCACATAGTTATATAGAGGAGTTTGAGAGAGAAGAACAGAGGCACTAGTTGTCAAAAATTAATGCTATTTGTCTGATACCTCTGAATGTTCGCTGACATGGGTGACAGTTGAGAAAATGTGAACCTAATTATAATCAGACACATATTATGCTACTTTCTGATTTCTTTAAGCCACTAAGGGTATGTCTACACTGCCACCCTAGTTCGAACTAAGGTGGCTAATGTAGATATTCGAACTTGCAAATGAAGCCCGGGATTTAAATATCCCGGGCTTCATTTCTCTGTTCCCGGGCGGGCGCCATTTTTAAATGCCCGTAGTTCGAACTACCTGCCCATGGCTACACACGGCATGGACTAGGTAGTTCGAATTAAAGCTCCTAATTCGAACTACTGTTATTCCTCCTGCAAGTGTAGACATACCCTAATTTCTTTAGCCACTCTCATCATTGACATAGCAGGAGGGAAAGGAAGGGGGAAAATCTTAGTCTCTAGTGACCTCTCCAGGCAAAAACTACATTTCTTAACTCAGTTTCTCCCCCTCTAGCAGGGATATACCTTTCTTGGACTTGGGAGGCCAAGGGGCTGTTCCCTGGGCACGGTTCTCTCTGTCCCTCCCCTCTGAACTCGCAATGTTCCTTCCTAGTATCTAACAGCATCTCTACAATTCCTGCTCTCCAGCAGCATGTCTTCCTCCCCCCACTCCTGGATCACCCATAAACTGACTAAAAGGGAAACTTTTAACCATTCCAGGTGGTTCTTGATTGGCTACATGTGCCCCAATCAAACCTTACTGTCTCAACTGGTTCTAGCAGGTTCTAGATTGCCTTCAGGTGTCTTAAAATTAACCTGTGTCCACAGGTTAATGCAAGTTCTTGCTGATTGATTCAGAATCAAATCATCCACGGAAGATAATGTCAATTTATTAATCTTATTGCACTGTAAAAAGTTATGAAAATACATTTATTATATCAAAGCATAAAACTGTAATTAGTAAAATAATTCATGAGCAATAGTATGTTGTAAAAGAAATATCAGTGATCATCATGGTTTCCCAGGTTGTAGGTTTAGGCCTTTCAATAGAATATTAAATGGAAACAGTACTCTGCTTGAATTATAGATGTCTCAACACATTTAAAAAAAACAAATACATTAATAGTTTCAACTGTCACTACTAGTTCTCTAGTTCATGATAAAAAATGCAGCTAATTTAAAATCAATTAGCTTAACAATGAAAAAACCACTGATCAAGACTGAATACAGGTAGCTCATTGGCTGTAGCTGTTTCAAGTTTTCTGTGCTAATATGATAAAAAATAATCTTATTGTTATATTCATGGAATTCTTATCTTTGCTAAATAAATGGCCACAGGTTGAATCTCTCCAATCTGGCACTCTCTGGTCTGGAAACATCCATGGTCCAGCATGATTTTAGTTAGCCAGATGTCCACTTATCATGGGTGTGGCCAAGGTTCCTGAAGTCCACCAAATTTATTTACTGCCACCAGTCCTGGCTCTCAGTGTTCTGTGCTGTTATTTAGCTCTAATTTACCCCAAATGTCCTCTTAAAGTCCAGTACACAGTGGAAGTGTTGGTAATGACAATATTGACCTTCCATGGTCCGGCAAATTCTCTGGTTCGGCACAGGTCAGGTCCTGAGTGTGCCGGACTAGAAAGGTTCAACCTGTAGTTAAGAATTCATGAAAATGTGACATGTACTCCACATATTATCAACAGTATTGCATAACTAGCAAGTTATCATATGTGACACTTAACATTCTCTGTTTTTATAATTTCATTGGTTATTAAACTATAGCATTAGAGTAAGAGCAAAAGATTAGTATTACTTACTTTGGTTCTCCTATCTTGATTCCAGGGTGTTGTGTATAGGCATGGGAATGTGTGCTGGGTGCAGATTTAAATGCCATGGGACAGATAGGACACTTGTAGAAGACTTCACAATGAGAACCCTGAATATGAGACTTGAGTGCAGCCACATCAGAGTACACAACATTGCAATGTACACAGCTGTAAGAGGGGGAAAAAAAGAGTCAAACTAACAAACACAAAAGCGTATTAACGTAAGTGGAATCAAAACTGGGTTTTAGGCAGGTCAAGGAGTGAGGGTTATGTATTCTATCTGATAAAATTATATGATTTTTGATTAACAAAGTACAAATCAGAGAGACAATGTGGGTGAGGTAATAGCTTTTACTGGGCAAATTTCTGTTGGCAAGAAAGACAACAGTTTCAATAAAAGAAATTTCCTCACCCATCTTGTCTAATATCCTGGGACCAACATGGCTACAATTATACTGGAAAGTACAAATCACACAGAACACATCCAACAGAAATAAAAGAGTTATAGACCTAAAAAAGAAAAAAATAATTAATTTGCAAGCTCTAAAGCCAAAGGACAAGATTTGATAATTGCATTATGCCAACAATAGACTAAATGGCCAATGAAATCTATTCCATCTTTTGATTATAAATAAGAACTTTTTAGACCCTACAGGTCCTACTAAATACATTTTTATTAGTAGTAGAAAATTGCATGAAAAACCATACTGCAATCTAGAAGCTACCAAAAAGGAAATACAACAAGAACATCAACTTGACTATATTTATTTAGGTTTAATTTTAGTGAAAATGTTTTCTTAATTAAGCGATTTTTTTCTTTATGTAGTCAAATCACTATCTGGCAAGAGATGAGTAAATAAATTCAGGGTGACTAAGTGGGAGCTTTACAATATGTTCTAAAAATCAGGTAGACATTATGAAAACATTTTCCTAAAATATATACCTTTGAAATGCCTTTCCACAATTCACTGTACAGTAAAGCAAGTAACATAAATTGAGTTAATATAAGAACACATGAATTTCTATACTGGATCAAGTATGTGGACTATATAGTCCAGTATCCTCTCTCCAGTACTAGGTACCTCAGAGAAATTCCAAAAATGCCTTGTAGTGGACAATTATAGAATAACTTGCTTTTAGGGAAAGTTTCTTACTATCCCCATTCTTTTGGAAGTTCACTTGAAGGTTTATATCCCTTCCACACTTTATTTCTATCTAATATTATTGATATTCTAGTTAGCTATATGAATGTCTAATCCTTTTGACATCCGCTATTCTGCTGACCTCAATTGTGGCAATGCGTTCCACAGGCCAATTATGCATTGTATTTGAAAACATATTTTATTGATCTTAAATTCACTTCCAATTTCATTAACTGTCCCCTTATTTTTATATTGAGAGAAAGATAAATTCACTCAATTTACCTTCACTATGCCATTTATTACTTTGTATCTATCATGTCTCTATCTGTTCATATCTTCTCTAAACTAAACAGTTCCTACCTTTTAAATCTCTCTTCTTATGGAAGATTTTCATTGCCTCTAATTATTTTCGTTACCCATCTCTGAACTCCTTCTATGTCTGTTATATCCTTTTAGAGATACGGTGATCTTATGGAAGAGAGATAGCATGATGATATAGGAAACAATATGCCGTTTTTCAGATATGGCAAGCCAAAAGAACTAGGAAACTTTTCAAAAAGTGAAAACACAATTTTTGAGCACTCATATCTCACAAACACATTGTCTCTGAGATACCCCAAACTTTCTAAAAAGCCTCTACTTCAGCTTAACAGAATGTATGTGAAATTTCAGGTGATCTGGCTTAAATCTGTTAAAGATGGGAGAAGCTCAAATGAAACATCTAAATGAAAACTACTGTTCATCTTAACTACAGACACACTTTTCTCTACAATACTAAGTTTTAAGTATCATCACTTTTTTTACAGTTAACTTCATATTAGTTCTACTTCAAATGGGCTAGTGGTATCACATTCAAGAGGAATTTTTTTTCTTGCCATGAGGATTTTTTCCCCTGTAAATAAAATAATCCACAAACATAAGCACTCACTGTTGACTACAGTCTACATGTCTCCCTAAATACAGAAGTAGCTCTGCTGAAGATCAGGGTCCTCTCTCGTGGACTCACTGTTGCAGCATCTTTTTCTCCCTCAGCTTGAGAGGTTCCAGCTTGAGTCAGGTGAGCTGAATTTCCTCAGTTTAATTAGCTCATTCAAATAAGTTTAAATCACTGGCATCAAACAGCTTACTTAAATTATTAGATACTGTTATCCACCAGGAGGAAATGCATCCTTCTCCAAGAGAAAGTTTGGTGTTGATGAGGAGATTCTGATGATTCTAAGGAGCAAGAAGATGGATTTTGAATTGTCTGAGATAGTTTTGTTTTAGGCTCATCAAATGAGGAAGAGAAAAGAAACTTTGATACAGACTGTGCTGAGGGCAAGGATCAGATAGTTTTGCATAGGGTTTTAAAGAGAAATCCTGGATAAGTTAACACCATTGACCTGATTCATTGTGGAAAATAGGTGTTTGTTTGGTTTTTTTGGGTTTTTTTTAACTGTGAGGGGAGTCTTCTCACTGCTACGACATAGATAGGTATAATGTTAACTGATGAAACAGTTAGCATTAGTTTTACCAGTTAAGACACTTCAACTGTTAACCTGCAGGCCAGCTGTCCCACTGACCCCAACAGCACCCTGTCAGTCATCCCACTGACCCCAGCCCCAACAGCGCCTGCCCACTAACCTCAGCAGCTCCACTGGACAGACGGTCAAAGCAGCACCTGCCACACTGGCCAACCAACCAACATCAAACCCAGCCCCAGTTGCACTGCCTGGAGCAGCTTCAGCCCCAGCCCTAACTATGCCAACCTGAACAGACCCAGCCACTTCAATCATCTGGCCAAAGCAGCCCCAGCCACGCTGACCAACCAACCCCAAATCCAACCCTGACCTCACCCAAGGCCTGGGCCAGCTGAAGTAGACCAGCTCCTCTCCCTTTAATTGGTTAACTGTTTAAACAGTATACTTTTAATTGTTTAAACTGTTAACTTTTTAAATGGTCTCTACGCCCTTACTATGGCTATATGAATAGAGGCCAGGTGTCTTTGAAAAAATCCCAGTTGCCTCTGAGTCCCACAGGTGACTGAGTTTATGTCTACACTACAAAGATAAATTGGAAAAAAATGCAATTTGCAATTGTCTTTTTCCAATTTACATCCGAAAGAGGCTTTTCCAAAATTTGGACCATCTATATGGGGCCAAGTTTTAGAAAAAAACCCTCTTTCAGAACATCCCTTCTTCCTCATAAAACGAGACTTACAGGGATGCTAAAAAAAAAGTGTCCGCTTTTCCGACTTTTTTTGGGGAAAAGCGGATGCGTTCCTTGGACGTGGAAGAACTTTTCTGGGATACCTCTGGTATCCCGGAAAAGCTCTGCAGTCTAGACATAGCCTGAGGTACAGGAAGGAAATGGGGATGGAAAACACATCAGAAATCTCCCCTTTCTTCCAAACAAACCTAATTACTCAGAAAGGAAAGAAAGAGAGAGAGAGTAATCCAGAGAGACTTTGGGGCAATGAATATTGGCCTGACCAACCCCGGTCACCAAAAACAGAAAGATTCTACCACAACATCTGCTTAGATACAGTAAAAAGACTTCTTCCTCCACTGAGCATGACCTTAGCAGAAAACATCTTACCCATTCTGATAACTGAATCATGTTTCCTTGAGGGGAAGATGCACTGTCAGCAGGTGGGACTCTAAATCACACCACTCTTATCTTTAGGAAGCCAATTAAGACAGATTGCAAGACTATACTGAAGTGCTATGCAAAAGCCTGCTGTAGGAGTTGGGGAAAGGGAAGCTATTCTGAGTTGTTGTCTTGGTACTGCTCTGAGTTTTGTTGGAATTATAGCAGCAGAGTTTCAAGGCCGCTTAGCGCCTTGATAATCCTCCAATTCTTGTTACTCTACTGACAGTTGCTTCCCAGCACAACATTTAAGGAAATATAGGAATTAAAAACTTTCAACAAAGAGCCAAAATATCAGACTGTTGCACTCTGGGACGGACAATGTGAATTGGTATTAAAAAAGTTTAGTTTGATGGTAAATCCAGCAGTGGGAACCTGGACTTCCCCAAATGGGGAGGAAGAATGAGAAAAAAAGAGAGAGAAAGTCTTCAACAGAGTTGCCTTCTGTATCTGACAGACTGGCAGAATACATCCATCGATGTTTTAAAGATACTCTAGCACTAATTAAAAAATTATTATGATTATTCAACTCAGACGATCTAAAAGTCAGCTTATGTCTTTTTTTTAAAGAAAATAAATTAGTAAAATGTCTGAATGTATTAGCTTAGAAACTGTATGCCTTAAATGTGACATTTCATGGCTGGATGAAATTAGCAGTATTGAGTATCATACATAATCATAGGCCCAAATGTATGGCTGGCATCTAGAAACAATTTTTATCCCAAAATGTGTAGTACAAATAGTACTGTAGCCATAAGAACTTTAAAACAATAAAGCAGCATTTTGTAAGCAACTGTCACAATAAAGGGAAACTATTTCAGTATAAGTTTGAAAAACACAGAAAAAAATTGCATATATATAACAGACATCATATTTAAATTACATGTATAATCATACTGACCGAAAACCAACTCTTCGTGTGTAGTGCAGGCAGTTCTTAGTGACGTGGGTCTGGAAGTGGACTGATCTGCAGATTGCTCCACATTCAGGACACGTATATGGGGATTTATGCTGATGAATTCTCTGGTGTGATGCAAAACTGCACTGATTAGGAAGCAGCATCTGGCAGATATTGCAAGTCTTCTAAATGATAAACCAAAATAGATAAAACAAATAGTTTGGTTTAACTATCTGACAAGCTTTATAATACATTAAAAAAAACATTTACATTTGTTATGGTTGGGATATAAACCAACAAGAGCCAACACATTCAAATGTTGGCTCTAGTTCTGGATCCCTTTGTTAAGATAGAGGCCTTTACATTGGACATTCTGGGACTGATATGAAGGCCACTTTACACACAACTCTGGCACTGTGAAGGAGCCTAAAGGTCCATGTCAAATATATTTGTAGTCTTTAATTCAGAATACCACAGGAAAATATACCCCACCAGTAAACAACTTGGATTGTTGTCTTTACTTTTACATCTCCTTGCTTTCTTTGTTTTTGTTTTTTTTAAATTGTAACATCCAGAGGACCACTTAATTGTGTGTGGAGGCAAAGTTGAGGTTAATTAACTTTCTTTTTTTTAAAGATGAATTAAAACATATTTACGCACAAAATCAGAATATTGTGTAGATATTGCATACATTAATATGAATATGAATAAGAATGAAATTTATGTAAAATATTTCTAAAGCTTTTCTTTGAAAAGGAGGTTCTATAAGTGCAATAGTCACTTTCTCAATCTCAAACATTTTGGTTTTCAAAATACAAAAAAAAAAATATTTTAGTACATGCTGATCACATGTCAAGTCAGAATCACTAATACTTTTTGGCTTCTCTGTGCCATTCCAGTGACGAAATGTAAATGATATAAATCAGATGTAAACACACGTTTAAAACGGGTTTATAGCTCCTTCGCATCATTGGAGAGGCACAAAGAACAAGAATGGTACCTGTGAACCAAGCCCATACATTACATAAATGCAAAATAGCATCTCTAAATTACTAGGCTACAAACCTGAACAGACTTACACACAGGCTACGTCTAGACTGGCATGATTTTCTAGAAATGCTTTTAACTGAAAAGCTTTCCGTTAAAAGCATTTTCAGAACAGAGCGTCTAGATTGGCACGGACGCTTTTACGCAAAAGCACTTCTTGTGGAAAAGCGTCCGTGCCAATCTAGATGCGCCTTTCCGCAAAAAAGCCCCGATCGCCATTTTCACGATCAAGGCTTTTTTGCGGAAAACTAATCTCAGCTGTCTGTACTGGCCCTTTTGTGCAAAAGTTTTGCGCAAAAGGACTTTTGCCCGAACGGGAGCAGCACAATATTTCCGCAAGAACACTGACAATCTTACATGAGATCGTCAGTGCTTTTGTGGAAATTCAAGCGGCCAGTGTAGACAGCTGGCAAGTTTTTCCGGAAAGCGGCTGATTTTCCGGAAAAACTGGCCAGTCTAGACACAGCCCTACTGTATGTCTTTAATTACATGAGCAGTTCCAATGACTTCATCTGAACTGTTAACATGTTTACAATAGTTTCTGTCTATTAAGACTCCACAGAACAGAATTTCTAATGCCTCTTTTAAATACCTGGTTGGTTGTTTTTTTAAATAATAAGCTGGTTATAATAGACAGATAGATTGATCAATGCAAGGCTGAAGCTACAAGCCCCAAGCTAAATCCTGAAATTAAACTAGCACATCTATTAGTCCTTCATTACAAATCAAGCTATGATAACATAAATAATGGATAGCTCATGACCAGGGCTTCTGATACTTTTTGGCATTTCTATTTTTCTTCACTAAAAATAATTAATTAGAGTATGTAGGTCACTGTCAACAAGAAATGCAAGTGTTAAAATGTTCAATTTCTGTTCTAATGGATTTTAGACTCCATTTTTCAAAAGTGCCCCATGACTTTCAATGGGACTTATGTTCTTGAGTGACTACAGGCACTTATGAAAATAAAATTGATTCTCCTTTGTGATGTAGGTGATTTTGAAAATAGCGCTGTTGAAAACTTAACCTTTAGAGTAGGGATGTGGATGTTTTGCTAAAAAGCAAAATAAAAACTCCTCTGTCAATTTGTATTACAGATTTCCTGAAAATACCAATTAAACAAAATTCTAATTATAAAATACAGGTTGTACCTCCCTTCACCAGGACTCTCTGATCCAGGAACAAACCACAGAGCCCAAGTATAGGGAAGCCTGGCCACAGGACAGGAGCGTGGCAGGGCAGGGCCTATGACTCAGCCAGGAGCTGGTGTGTGGCGAGGGAGTGTGGGTGGCGTAGGGGGAAGTTCTGGTCCCAGCGACCGAGCAGTAGTAGGGGGCCAGTAGAGGCCGTGGAACTTAGGGTTGCCAGATAGTTTCAACAAAAATATCAGACACGCTTGACATAACATCACAATCTACATCACATCTTATTTAGAAAATACTGGACATTTATATTCTCAATTTGTTTCCTGAACAGAGCGCTCAAATATTGGACAGTCTGGTTCAAAACTGGACACCCGGCAACCCTAGTGGAACTCCATCCTTGGCTGTGGCCAGGGAGATCTGGCCCCAGCAGCAGAACTCCAACCCCAGCAACAGCCAGAGAGCTCTGGCCCAGTGGCAGCTAGTGAACTCCAGCCCAGGCAGCCACAGCTGGCCAGGCAGCAGCGGGGCCGGGCTGGAGCCCTAGCTGGAGGGCAGTGGTTCACCATGGGCAAGGGGAGGGACCTCTCCTGGTCCGGTAAATCCCCTCATTCGGAACTGAGGGTGTTGGACCAGGGAGGTACAACCTGTAATATAATAGAGAGTGTTTATTCTTGCTATAAGAGTCTGTCCCCCTGAAATGGTGTGTACAATATGAAAATCCCTCTAATTCTGGATCATTTTCCATTAAATTATTTTGTGTTTAATAGTAAAGTGCAAAGCCGATTCTTTACAGTATGTTGCAATTATAGTTGTGACAGTAAAATCAAAGCTGTAACTGTAAACACAATAGTAGGAATGTTATAAGTAGTTTTCGTATGATGCAGACTTATCATTATGGTGAAATCCTGGCTTCATTAAATCTAATGGGAATTTTGCCTTTTGACTTCAGTGAGTCCAGAATTTGACCTGCAAAGGAACGCTTTTTTAAAGACACTATTTGTACTACTCTCTAATTTTAGAAACCTGTTAAGAGACAAAGTAAATTCAATTTTATTACTGTTATAATGCAAGATCTCAGCCTAAATGCTTTTGAGGAGTCATGCAAATCCAGAGAAAATTCTATAACATTTTATTTTAAAGAAGTATATTAACATGAAATATCTTGAACTTATCTACACTGAATCAGGGAGTTTATTTTTATGAAGCTCACTCTTTAAAATGCCCTCATTTTACACACACACACTTCAACAAGCCAAATATTTGTTCTTAGTTGTCCCAACAAATAACTCTGGAAACACTGAATTATGACTTTAATTACTAATATAAGTAATGTAGGGTTTTAATTTTCTGTTCATCACAGACTTAAGGGCAAAAGCCTTACTAATTATAACTCTTAAAAATGTTCTTGCCAAATTTACTGTACTTCAGTACCACTGCCACAATTTATTTTTGCCATCTACGTATTAACAAGCAGTAACATAACAGTGAAGAATCTAGAGTATTCTTTGATTTCATAAAATGGCAAAACAAAACTTCTTATTCCAATAACAGAAATACATGGATTCTTCATATGCCTTCCAAAGTATCTATAGTTGCAGCAATATAAAAGAAAACTTTTTGTGGATGTTATGCCACAAAAAAGCCATTCACCATTACCAATCCCACTAAGCATTCCTCTGTTTCAGAAGTGACAGCAAGCAGTTTGCAGAATTAGTCTAACACTAATACTTCAGAATGTCACAAAACACCAGCAACACTAGTTGTCAAAGTAGGCAATTCACTACTTTAACAAGTGTAGAAAATATGTGTAATTGTAGCTGCTTACAAGAAGACACTACCAGTGAATTCTACAAGCCAACACTTCTGCTTAACACTTATAGGGCTTTAAAGTACGCCTGAACTTCCATGTCTATCTTTCCAACCAACATAAGAATAAAACATGATTTTTTTCTCAGTGTGACAAGAATTACATGTGTCCACTTAGGATCTAGAAATAAGGAACAAGAGATTTGGTCTGAGGGAAAATGGTGGTGAGGAGAAATAAAAACCCACAAAAGCAGTTAAGTCATAAGAGATATTGGCTACACAGCTTTCATCAGAGGTATGCAGTTACATCTCTTAGCCTAATATACCCAGATATTTTATTACTTCAAGTTCACTATATTTTCTACAAATTTCAATGTCACAATCCTGCACTTACACAAGTAGCCCATTGAGTTTAATGGGACTAGTTCCACGAGTAAAATTAAGGCTTGTCTACACATTGTGGCAAATAATTCTAACCAATTATAATTTGTTAAGCACTCTAACTGCTCCATGTAGGACCTTGGGGCGTGCTCTAAAAGGCACCTTCATTAAGTCCTATAATGTTGTGTAGACAAGCTCCGGTTCACATATTTATCTACAGTATTAGACAGTTTATTTCTGCTATGCTTTAAGTGGCTCTTTCACAAAATAACAAGGAAAAGATCTTACAACATATGCAGAAGAACAGACAATTCAGTTAGGCCCATGGGCGGTTGTTTGTTTCTGGGTGTTTTTATGGATCGTTTTTAAAGGAAACCTTCTAACTCTTTCCGGGAAATATTTTTAAACATTGTTATCTACACTTAACCAAAACACACCACATTGTGCTAATTGCATTGCAAGAGTAGTTAAAAGGACAGTGTGATATTTGGGTTTATAAATCAAGTGTTACTTTGCTTTCTATTTGTTTACAAAACCCACGTAATTCCATGTGTGCTTCCCTGCTCTACTGAAATCAATCCACTTTTAACAAATCAGTGCTAGATCCCACATTCTTGAGTAACTTTACAATATCAAGCCAGTGCAAAGTACAAGAAAAACAAAAGTCAACTAAGAAATACTATTTCTCTTTCAAGTTTCTAAAGGGATATTATAACGAGAGAAAAAATTAAAAATTATTAATAAATACCTAGACCATGTCCTCCTTCAACAAACAATATTCCCACAATAATGTTTACAGTGATTGATTACAGGGCACAAACACATATCTTGTCAGGAAAACATGTTATACTGTTACTAAAGTGGTAATGTCCACTGCTTTCATGTTGGGCATTTTATCTCGGTTGTAATACTACTGAATGTAATAATGCACACATAAAAAAAAGTGGGCTGAGAAACAAACCATGTCTGACAAAGGGAAAAAAACACAATAAATAGGAAAAAAATAGTTTTCTAAAGAGGATTTTGCAAAGAACACAGATTTATAACATTTAAAATCTATTGATTATCAATGTTCCTAAAAAATTAAAATTAAAAACTTTCTGCCATTGCAAGAGCTTACTGAAATAAAGGAGGCTAATGTAGCTAAAATGCTTGTATATTTTTCTTTTAAAGAGTATAACATGGCCAAACATTAAGGCCTTGTCAACACAAACTTTTAAAGAGGTTTTGTTATCATTTAGGCACAGCCATGTTGTTCACGTTATAATCAATACATTCAGGTTTGTGCCCCTTGGCAGTTTTTCAGCTCTCACATTTGTATGTCTGCACCTATCATTCTGTCTAATCATGTTTACATTAATGCAGTTTGGGGAAATTGGGAGGAAACAGCACAAATATACTTTGGCTTTTCCGTCCAACCTGGCAAAAAACAACCAACAAAAATGCCAGATGGACCGGCATTTTTCTCATGTGTTTCTGCTCAACTCTTTTCATTTTATCCTTACCTCATCCTCCTAGCCTACCTGCATGCTACATGTACTGTCTAACATATAGTTTCTAAGCTCTCTGGGGATCCTGTTACCTCTTTTTACCGTATCAAGCCCAATGGGGCCTTAATTGGGGTTCCTACACACTACTATAATATCAATAATAATAATGGATTAGGTACAAAAAAAGCCAACTGTATAGCAGGTTAGACCTCTGACAGGATTAGCTGACCAATTATGTGAATTTTAACTAAGTTGTACATGGGCACAAATATATTTAGAGTCAACCAGCAAATAACTGATTAAACACTTGGTTAAAAATTATAGTGGGACCTAACAGAGAAAATTCACCATTCCATCTTCTTCACCCAAAATCTTGAGTAATCAGAATTTATGTAGGGATCTATCTCTACAGCATTCAACGGATAGGAATTCACACTCAGCAACCCACATTAAGACCATGAGATTTCACTGGCGGCCTGTTGTAACTATTATCCCAGTTAATAGCTGGAATGGCCTCTACTACTGTGTCACATAGTTCACACAATCCTGGATTCAGTGTTTCCACGCTCATCTACCTATATATGCAAGACTACTTGAGGTCATGTGTACAAAGTGTTACTTCCCAGATAGCCCAGCCTCACAATAAGTCATAAGTAATATGGAAGCCCTTTTAAAGCTATCTGCATTTGAACAATCAGAGGATTTCATACTACGTGCAAAGGCTCAGCAAGTCTGTCCCTATCCCTGTCAGTGCAAGATGAAAAATATTATACTCACGCTCCTGTCTCTGTTTATCTGAGTGTATTTTACTGGCTTTACATTCCCACATAATAGGAAGTTGCAATATGAAAGACAGACAAATGCTTTGAAATACAGTAGAATCCTTTTTAATTGGCACACCCCAAGGAAAATCCAAATATTCCAATTAAGCAATGGTCTCAATTATCAGAGGCATATAGAATACACTGTGCATTGGATTGTTTCATTTTTATTTAGTAAGTTTATTTTATTATGCAATGTACACAATATTTAAAAATATTATAGTAGGATAAATTTGATTCATTTTAGCAACTATAAGAGAGAAAGACAGCAGTAACAAGTAAACAAATAGTCACAAGCTGGAATATATGCTAGCTAACACCATTTTATTATATATATGCTAGCTAACACTACTTTAACAACACTCTTATTTTCGGAAGGCCTGCAAAACACAGCGGGCACATCATTTAAATAGTTAGTGTGCCATTTATTCATTGCCTAGAGTCACTGCAGCACCCAACTAAGAGCCTAACACCCTTATGGCACTATAAGTAACAGAAATTGAAATCAAATCAAAGATAGAATCAACCATAAGACAATCATTTCCATTAAGTGAGTGTACTGTTAAGAAGGGTGCCAATTAAATGGATTCCATTGTATATTTAAATTCCAAAGCATAAAAAAGAATCACTACAAATTCTTAGTGAATATCATTACCATTTCAATGTCTCAGAGAACAATACTAAGATATCTAAATTTAAAAAAAATCTTAATTTAAAAAAAACCTCCACCACCCTTTATAGGTATAAACTTTAACATCTGGATTGAATAAAAATTTCCAAATAAAATATACTCTAATTCTGAGAACAATTACATTCTCTATTTTGTGCTTGCAGGGTTTTGTTTTGTTTTTTTCAATTTTTAAAATATTTTTCAACCAATTATTATTTATCTCAAATAAGGTATGAATGCTTAAGAGAAAGCAAAATACACATTCACATCTCCTATTCGTATTGCTGAAACACTGGAATTTAAACATAAGATACTCTACTTGTCCACTTGTGTCTGCAGCCTGCTGGAAATGTGTAGCAAGTGATGTCTCATCTTGGAAAACTTCATTGCACTCCAAACACTTTAGACTATGTCTACAGAGTTTTGATGGGTCTTCATCTAGAGGCATAGCTGGAATGATAGGTGTACTTGCTGGGGCTGATATTACTGTTCCAGTTATGCCAGACTGTATCTTGGTTACAGTATGTGTGCCAATTCCCACAGGGCTTTGAAGAGTAGAAGGTGCAACAGCATTGCTTGAAGGAGAGGCTATCATTTGATCTGCTGGGACTGGTTTTAAAATCAAATGGGAGCACTGCATTACAACTCCTTTCTCCTTATGTCCCCGAGCATGGGAAAGAAGACTACATTTATTATAGAAAACTAAATTTTTTGTACAATGGTTACATGTCACTTCAATTCGCACACTCCGTCTATCGTAATGCTGTGTCAGACTCTTTTCAAGAGCAAACGAATCACCACATTCCAAACACTTGTAACCACGTGTTGGTAATGTTATACCTGCATTAGCAGGAGGACTGAGGTTTGGGACGTAAACTGGGACAGGATTAACACTACTCAGCACCTTATTGAATGCTTCCACTACAGAACTCTGCAGAGAGGATACCACTTGGACTCGTGACACTTTTTTAGAAGGCTGTGTGGCTGCTGCAGAAATTATTGCCTGCTTTATTTGTTGTTGAGGTTTTGTTAGCACTTGGCGGAGTTCAGAGGTGGTTTGAGCACCTTGAGGCAGAAGATTAAGATTGGCAAGATGGACTGTCTTTGGCACAAGTTTAGCACTGGCAAGGCTTGATGCTGGCACCACAACAGTCTGCTGCTGTATAGCATTAGCAGCTTTAATAATGGCACTACTGGCACTTTGCACAGAAGCAGCAGATATTACAGTGGCTTTCACTGTAGTATTGTTAGCAAGCTTCAGATTAATAACTTGTGATCCTGCTGTTTTAACTGCTGAAACTGGGAGAAAGGCCGTAGCCACAGGTTTAATTGTGACCTGTTTGGGTGCAAGTTCTGCAGATGCAACTGCATTGGTGACAACTGCTGACTGGAGAGGTGCCCTCGGAGGAGATGAAAGAACAGCAGCAGAAGTTGGAGAAGACAAGAGAGATGTCATGGAAGCAACCATGGAAGCAGTTTGCTCTGTCTTTTTGCCAGAGTCCAAATCAACTTCTGGCAACACTCTTGTAACTGTTCTCTTGATTTCCCCAGAGGAAGTCTTGATGGTTTTTATGCGAACTTTTGGAATGGCAGGCGTTGACCCTGCAGGAGAAGATGGAGACCCTTTGCTACTGTTTTCACTTGATATACTTCTGGGACTATCAGGTTGTTTTATAGATGGTTTTTTAGCACCATCAATAAGACTCTGAGACTCCGGTGATTTCTCAATAGCTCGGGGACTTTCATTCATGTCTTTTGGTAATGGAGAAGATTCTCTTGAAGTAGTTTGTAATTCATTACTGGTATCTGTAGCTGCCTTTTTAGCACTCAGTGCTGCAATTGCAGCAATACATGAAGAAAGCTTTGCTGATGACTTTGCTTTGGACTGTGAAATGCTGGCAAGATTTGTTTCACCTTTTTCAGTACCTAATTTTCCATCAAGTACTCTGTTTTCAAGCAGCTTTTCAGAACTATCTTTCAGCAACTTGTCCTCTATTTTTCTGGCTTTGAATGGTTCATAGACACTTAAGTTAACAGAGTTTGTTTCTGTGTCTCTTTTAACAACTTTGTTTTTATCTAGATTACTTGAAGCTGGAATTCCAGATTTAATCAAGTTTTCCCCTCCCAGTGTCTTTAGTTTTTCATATTCCTGTTGAGAAACTGATCCTGTTAACACATTTGCTCTGAAATTTGCATGCATCTCTTCTTTATCTGGAGGATCATCCACTTCTATTTTTTCATCATCATCAAATTCTTCAGCACTGGAGATTGGGCTAAACTGGTTGAAAGCTGAGTCTTTCAGAGTAGCCTCAGACACTGATGCCTCTTCTTTCAGACACTTCCCTTCATCTTTACCATAACTTTCAAGAGCAGATACTGTTAGAAAACCATTATGCAAGCCATTGCCTGTAGAATGGTGGCCATCTTTATCCACTCCTTCAGAAGAATCAATATTACGTACATTTTTCACAATGACGCTCACACCAACATCAGATGATGATGGCACATGAGAATCTTCATCTGTATGAGCATTCTGTTTTATGTGGCTTTCATGATCATCATGTCCAGACTCAATAGCTGCTTTAGGATCTACCATGTCTGGGATGTCAAAGGCTGCAAGAAGGTCATCAAAGTCGGGGGTCTTCATATCCCCCATGGTCATGTATTTATTTGGAAGCAAATCTGTAAAAAGAGCAAAAAATATTTGTATCAGTTCTTGACACAGCAAATCAATATTTTAATATATACATATTAATAAAAATAATGTCCCTATACATAGTTGGCTAATGGTTTTGTGATGTATTACAGTCATGGGTGAAATAAGTGTTGTATAGAAATGTTATAAATCAGTTCCTTTTCAGAAGTTAGAAATTATGCAGTAACTCACCAGGTCCAAGCAAGCAAGCCAAATGCTTACAGTGAGACCAGCACAAAGGAAGTCCTTTGGGGTTTATAATTTTTTGTTTTATTTTATTTACACTTTCCTTTCAAAGGCACCCACTCCTGTGCTTAAAGCCACACACCTCTACATTTTGGATCTTAAAAACCTAAATTTCTTGGATATTTGCACTTTTCACTATTAGTTAAACCAGTGAAAATACACAAAGACTATAAATAATATGCACTCTTAAAAATGGTATTGTATCATCACACTATCCTCTATATTACTTGGTTGTATTTTAATACTCCCACTGAACAGAATACTCCATTTTAAGTATAGCTATGAAACAGTTTCCATCAGGATAAATTCCAATTTAGTATATTTAGGTTGGCACGTTCAGCTAAAATGAAATAGGCAAAGTAGAGAGTGAAATGGGTTGCACACTATTTGATTTTTACTGACCGAGACAAAATGTGTGAAATCAAATCTTTTACTGAATCAAACTCCATGAGACAAGCGTCTGTGTGACACAGAGCTCTTCTTCAGGTCTGAAATAGGATGTTAGATATCGATTACAGGCCGTCTCCAGCAGACCAGGGGCACCGGGCGGGTGCCAGAGCAAAGCCTCAGTAG